ACTAAGTAGGTTTGGGGCGGATCAAGAAGACCGAGGGGCCTTCTGGGGTCCCTGAGAACACCGCCCTGGATCCGCCTGTGTAAGTAGGAAACTGAGGAGAAAGGAAGGTTATCGAAACTAATGCATGTGAAGAAGCGAGCAGCGGCAATTTACTAATAATATGCATCGGCCTGAAATGATGTTTTAATGTTGGCGCTACTTACCCTCATGCTGTAGTTGAAGAAAAAGAGCAAAGCGATGTCTGATGCGATAATTGTGCGCATTTCAGGTACGAACAGAAGTCTTAAGTCATCTGAAGAAAGATACAACGCTTGAAACGGCGCTAAATCCCTACGCATATCGCCGCACAAAACGACAGACGCTGAGGGAAGCACGTGTGACGGAAAAACTTGAAAAACAGCAAAAATTGGAGCAGGAGCGCCGTCGACGCCAGAAACACAACGAATTGTTGCAGGCTATTTTGCAGCATGGCAAGGAATTCAAGGATTTCCACCGGAACACTTTGGTGAGGTTTCCACTTCAGTCATATTAAGGTTTTTCAGAATTTTGCTTTTTTTTGTCGAAATTGGAGAAGTTGCCAGTTGCATAGCTGACGTAGCAAGCCATAAATTATCCAAGCAAGTGCTGGGGCAAAGGTGGGGTAAGCTGACCAAAGTATTCGGGCAAGCGGTAGGGCAAATGATGGCCAAATTTGTCATTTGTTTTTTACCCCTCACACGCGAGCAGGGCCTCCGAGAAACGTTCGAAGGCAATTCAGCTTTTTTGCATGTCAAGCAAGTCAGTTGTCGCTTTAGCGTTGAGTGAATTTTTGAGGAATGGCCCTTCTACTGGCTGGATGGATATAGCTGTTCGAGCCTGAGATTAAGCGCCTAATTATCATCTAACCAGATACAGGGACCTGCCAAATATTACCTTACTTTATGAAGTTATTGAGTTAAATCTGTTTTAGGTGAAGCTAAGCAAAGTAAAGAAGGCAGTGCTAACATACCATGCAAACAGCGAAAGAGAGCGAAAAAAGGATGAATTGAGAAATGAGCGAATGCGTATGCAGAAATTGATGCAGGAAGATGAAGAAGGTTACAGGTACTCGATTCAAAAAAAGCCTTTTTTTAAACTTTTTCTTGAACATATTTATAGACAGAAAAATATCTTAATGTTGGAAGGCGCACAAAGCCAATAATATTAAAAAATTATTAAAAGTTTTAAAATTTTGTAAAATATAATGGTAAGAAATGTTTCGGTCCATTAAGTCATACATTTCTTACCGTTACCACGGTTCATAGATATTAGCATTATTTTAGACTTTTTGGTTGATAGATCACTTTTTATCACTTCATTAGGTACAACAGTTTTAATGTTTCGCTCTTTTCTAAACCGCCCTGTACGTGACTGGCCTTTTGCTGTTTCTAGACAGTTGCTGGATGAGAAAAAGGACAAACGCCTGGTGTTCCTGCTACAG